CAATGGTGGCTTGGTCCCCAAACAGCTGCCTACAGGGCTGAAGCACAGCCATGCCTCTTCCTCAGGATATGGGCTAAGCTCTGCCCAAAGGGCACCGCTAAGACCTCTCTGCTGTTCCCAAAGCATGTCACAGCCTCCAGGTTCTAATGAACCGAAGTAACAGACCCAACTTAAGACATAAGGCAGGAAAAGCATCCTTATGCCACCTGATGCCTTCTCACCCAAGCACTCTCTCAACCTCACACATATTTCACATCTACCCTAGCAGTCTCTAACAGGACAGTCATAATGTTGTTCCTTTCCAGCAGCCCTTCCAAGGGCCCTATTCTCACCACTTCCCAGCGGATCTGCCTCTGGCCACCTTCAACAAGCCTGCTACTATTTGTTCTACAGCCCTAGAATCCTCCTTCCTCATTCAAAAGCCTTTCTTCCCAAGTCCCTCTTCCACCACTTTGGGGTTTTCCTCTCAACACTTTTCTCAGGTGTCTGTGCTCTTTCTCTGGTTCCCATCCTTGGCACTTCCCATCCCCCCCATGTCCCAGCCCTGCACACCCACCAAATTTCCTGCTGGTCCAGCGCAGCTCATCACCCTTGGTCTTAATGATGAGATTGATGGCTGCACTCTTGGTGAAATACTTCTGCACCATCTCCAGGTCCCCGGTGAAGAGCGCATTCTGGACCAGCAGATCCCGGCACTCCAGTGGCTCCAAGCGGCTGTTGGGGCATCCCTGGCCAACTGGGCTCAGGCTGTGCTCACTGTGGTGGTACCGGGGCCTTATACACCGAGAGTACTTCCACTGATCCCGCTGCTCCTCATCCAGCTGCAGCAAGCGTTGTGCAGCAGAGCTGAACGGAAAGGCGCAGTCCATCACAGGGAACAAACAGGACAAGTCTGAACCCTACAGTAAACAAGCTGCTGCAGGCAAGAGCCTCTTATCCCAGGCTACGTCCTTTGCAGGCTGCTCCTGGGCTCCAGCTCCCCAGCGTCTGGCTGGATTCAGGCACAGGCCTGACTCACGCAGTATAAATAGTCCTGCCTGGCAGCTCCCCTTCACCACCTCCCCTCCTTCCAAGAGCTTATTTTCAGCTGCTGGACGCAATCACCAGCACAGATTAGGCACAGGAGAGGGGTAGCAGGCAGCCTTGAAACACTCTCTATGTGCTTGTTTGTTTGCTCTGCAAAGTCTCTGCTCTGCACCATGCTCCCACTTGGAAAGAAACAGTGCAAGGTGGGGGCAATCATGGTGGGGGTAGCTAGGGAAAGGTCTGCAGCAGAAGTGGCGCCAGAAGTCGTAAGGGACTGAGTACAGAGGCCTTCCCCACAGGGACCAAAAAACCCCTCACAAGCCCCACACGCTGCTCTTGGGAACCCAGCATCTTCACTAGGGCAGCGAGGCTGGCTGCCTAGGCACAGCCGAGCACAAAAAAGGAAGGCATGTAGGCAAGCCCTGGGAAAAGCAGCTTCTACAACACGAACCAAGTTTCCTGGCAATAAGGATGACGGTCTCCCATGCAAACCTCAAGAGGTTGACAAGTGTCTTCGGGCTTCTGAGAGGGGTATGCCCAGCTATGCCATTCACCCCTCCAGCCAGAGGGGCTCACATTTAGAAAAGTGAAGGATGCTGAAGCCCTCTGCCCTGCTCCAGTTATCACAGATCACTCCGCAGGACATTAGCTAGGATGTTGTGGTAGCTTGACATAGGTTTGGGACCTGTTAAACTTTGTTTACCCTCAAATTACCCTCCTGTAACTAACCTGTTAATTGCTGTGTCCCTGCCAACATGAGAACCTTCCAGCTGGGCAGGCTGAGTGCCAGCAATGACAACAGGGACTCGTTAGCTGCTGTGGGAATTTCAGCCAGTATTCTCCACCCAACCCTGTAACTGGGAGTGCCTGGGGTGGCTGGAGTGACACAGCAGAGACCTGCAGGAGTGCCTGAGTGCTAATGGGGGTGGCTGTGCACTCAGATCACATACCTCTACCTGGAACTGCTACACTGACCCACTGACTTTCTCCTGGACCATGCTGTCCCACTGGACAGCCAGGTTTTGTCAGAAGCCATCACATTGGCCCACCTGACTTATCTCCTGGACTGCACCATCTATCCTGCAAAACAGGCAAGTTGTATCACTTGTTAAATATATATGTGACTAAGAGGTTTTTTGGGGGGTTGGGGAGGGTTTTTTTTCTTTGGTTTTGGGGCTGTTTTTTGGGGGAGGGGTTGTTGTTACTGTTGCTTTTTTCTTTGGTTGGGGGGGAGTTGCTTGATTTTTGTTTGGGTTTTTTTTTGGTTTTGTCTTGTTTTGTTTTTTAAATCTGAGCCCATTTATTCTTTACCCTGTCAACTTGGTTCCAAACTGTGATAGAGTTCTTTCTGGTGTGGCTGCAGGTGCTTATCAGACAGGGAGCTAGGCTTTGCTTGTGTTCCTTTTGGTGGCTGTTTCCAGCGCAGAGAAAAGGATTATGTAAGAACTGGGAAGCCCAAAAGGATCCATGAATCCATGAACCAGTCCCAGGTCTGCTGGCTGCCTTCAAGAGCTGCCAGACACGTTCTCCATTGCCACGGCACAGATACTCTATGCCCATGAGCAGTTTGCAGCATCTCACTGGTGCAGCACTGGGGTCACAGGCACACTTGTTCTCCAGAAGGATACATGGCCATATCTCCAGCCCCACTTTGGAATCCACATTCAAGCTTAATGAAGTGAATGTCCAGGCACAGGTGTGAGATGAAGGCACATCTAGAGCACACTGGCCAGAAGGATCTGCTGGTCCTCAGAAGGGGCTCAGGGTCTGCCGAGGAGCCAGGCAGAAGAGGTACTCAGTGATTCCTCTTCACTGTCCCATTTGCACAGCAAGACCAGCAAAGAGCTGACAGGTCCAAGAGTTCCCAGAATGATGTAGGCACTAAGAATGGCAGTAGATCCCACTACTGTAAGGATTTTCGTATAAGCTCTGGCTCTCCCTCCAGTCACAGCCGCAGTCCAAACACACCTACAGGGACCTTTCCAGCTACATTCACATGTGGCGAGCTTCACCACGCCCACCACACCACAGAACTCCATCACAAGTGTATCTGTACACCCATGCCCAGTGGCCTTGTTTTTCTTCAGTACACACACCCTCCCAAGCCCTCTCCCCACTCAGTGGTTTGTTCCCCTTCTGCAGTGGCCAAAACTGACAAACAGCTGTCCTGTCCCAAGATAGCATGTGCAGAGCTCATTAGAACTATTTATTACCTTTATTTCCCTTTTTTGTTGTTGTTTTCTTTCTCGTTTTTCCCTTGTGTCTCCTTTGCTTCTGCCATCTCTTGCACTGCCTGGAGCCAGGGCTGTCTTCATTTACCAGTCCTGCAGAAAGCGTGAGTATGCAGGGGGTGAAAAAGGCTGCGAAGGAGGGTCACAGCACAGAAGATAGAAAAGGGCTTGGGGCAGGTGGAAGGGCTGGCCATTTGTCCAAAGCACAAAGGAAATGAGACGATCAGGCTGAAACCAACTGGAGAGGAACAGTCAAGCAGGAGAAGGCAGAGGGGACAGGTTGAATTACCTGCAGACTCCACCAGGCTCCCATCCCTGTAGATGGGACCCACCTTGCTGAGCAGCTGCAGGAGCTCACATACTTCCACTACATGCTTCTTGGCCAGCTGTAGGATGTGACACCATCAGCAGCAATGCATACAGCTTGCACTATGTGGCCTTGGCTGTAGCCATCTGACACTTGACCAGGGCACTGATGCCCAACCTGCTGGTAAGAACATCCCACTTGCTTTTGGATCAGTCACTGCCAGGTCTCTGAACAAAGCATGAGAGGACACCATGGCAGGAAGGGTCGAGAGAGCATGACAAATAGCTAGTCTCCTCTGGCCAGATGAGGGGCTCAGTGCAACAGCCCCAGCTTGGGGACTTGGAGTACAGAGAAGGCTGGATTCTCTTAGAGATGAGGAAAACAAGAAACTAAGGAGAACTCTTAGTTTCCCTCCAACCTGTCTTTCCACCTCCTGCTGCTCCTGCCACTGGAACCAATGGCGTCATGCTTCCCCCAGCCATGGGCTTAGGCACAGAATCCAAACCTAGTCCTTCACACACAGTACTAGTCACACACCCTACAACCATCCAGGAAAGGCATCTAGGAGGAACACCCTGACTGCTGGGCTGAGGCCAGGTACCTAGCCATCACACCCAGAATGCTGGCAGAGGGCAGGCAGTGCTTTCACACTCAGGCAGCTTCACAGACCTTGGGCTGAGTGGGTGTGCATTTCTGCCTTTGCACCAGCTACCCTGCAGATTTCCTCTCGTTCCCATGGCTAACAACAAAAAACGCCACAAACATAACACACCACAAAAGAAACCCCACCAAAACAATACAAACCAAAACCAACCAAACAACAAAACAAAAAACCCACCAAAACCCAAAACCCACAAAACACAACCAACCACGCACACATACGCACACCCCCTCCTTCCAGCACAAACAACAAAACAAAAACCCCACCAAAACCCACAAAACACAACCAACCATGCACACATACGCACACCCCCTCCTTCCAGCAGAGCCTTTCCTTTGTGTTTGACAGGGCTCTGGCATCTGCCCTGGCCCCACAGCAGAAGAGGTCCTTTGCTTGCTCTGCCTGACAGGTCACAGGAGGGAAGTCAGGACCATCTGTCCCCTCAGCACTGTCATCTGGCAGGAGTTGTCCAGCTACTGGCACAAGGCTTTACCTTCAAATCCAGTTTACTGACCCCACTCACTGCACACTCCGTAGTGGGCTGCATAGTCTGGGTGCGGAAAAAAAAGCAGGCTCCTCCTCACTGCTTTTGCATAATACCTTCACATCAGGGGCACAGGACCTGTCTGATGCACAAATCAGCAGCACCCAGTCCTCTGGCCCCAATGATTTCAGGGCCTTTAGCAAGTCCTTCCTCAGATGCTTTGATCTGTCTGTGAGGAAGAAGAGGGTCCTCAAATGTCAGAGTGAAGGCGATCATGTGCAATCCCGTGACCCAAGGCTGACCAGAGGGAAGAGGATGCGCATCCTTAAAAAAAAAAAGTGTTGCAATTTTTTTCAGTGATCTGTCCACTTCTAAACATTGTTGCTCTTATTGCAAGAGATTTATCTCTTACTAAATCATCTATTTGTTTTATGATTACACCTGCCTGAGTAGGGGCCCAAGATGAACAGAGTGAAATCAGAAAGGCTACAGCATATTTCTTGTATAACAGAGCATGAGAGACATGTTGGAATGTCTCATACTCAGAGACGTTAGAGGAGTTCAGAGGATCAAGTCCTGTCTGCAGGTTTGCATGGGGTCAGAGGCTGGCAGTCACTGGCTTTTAGGAAGGCACTCCCTAGAGTATGCATAAGCAACCACCCCCAAGCCACCCATCCCCAGTAGAAGCAGGGACCACCCACTGTTGGTATATCTCCAGACATCACACCTTCCCCACAAGAAGCAGTAATTAACAACAAAGCAAGGAGAACACGGTTAAGTGGATAACTCCACCTATCTCCCCATGAGAGAGAGATGTTAAAACAAATCTGAGATACCCAGCCATGCAGCAGCTACCCAAATTGGTACAAAGAGACAAGGGATTGTGAATTGTGTTATTAGAAATTGATGGGTTTCTAACCCAGCTGGAAAGGAAGTTTGAATATACAAGCTGACAGCCCACCTATCTCTCTCTCTAGGTCTCACCTCCTTCTCCCCAGGTTTCTTATGAAATTAAATTTTCTTCATTCCCAACCCAGATTACTGACAGCTGCAGCAACTTTGCTAGCTGCAGTGTCAGAAGCAGGTGAGAGAAGCCTTAACCAGAGCTAGAGTACAGGGGTCCAAGTGGGGAACACCAGCAGAGGCTTAGCCCAAACACT